AAAAAGTAGTTCTCAAACGTAAAATTAAATTTGAATTAATTATAACAAAATAATAATAACATTTATGATAACGATCATGTTCTTTTGCAATATTAACAACACTTGTATTATTAACAGATTTAATTTTGGTCTTTACTGTGTGTTTATTAATGTACACTTCCTGGATGCAGGGCGCGGCCACATCAATGTGTATGTAGCTGAAACGCTTCGTGATCATGTGACCTCGGCCTAGGCTCTGATTGGCAGCTGCAGACTTTCTCATGGGGCGCAGCTCAGTGCATCCCGGACCCGTCCACTTTTGCTGTGAGCCAGTTACTTTTGTCTTTATTTGCTTTTGTCCTCTGTGGCTGGATATCAATACTGTCCTTTGTTGTTCTTACGACTGTGCTTTCTGACACGCGGCCTTTCCCCTCTTCTATTACTGCACAGCTACTGACTGACAGCTTAATGCATCGGCCTGCTGTCAATGGAGAAACGGCTGCTCATAGAAAAGACCGCATGTAGAATACATGTAACTTGGTTTAACCTCGGACAAATCTGACGTCAGAACACCCTGGTTTATTATTTTTAAAGCCATTTTTGGTCACACACCCGTCAGGGCACCACAGCCACCAACAGCATCTACCACATCCTGTTATGTGGGGCGTTTAGGGAGCATCAGTAAATCGTAGTGTCTATCGATAAGAAAATGTTCAGCAAGTCATATGTTTTGCCGTTGATCAGGTTGGAGGTGCAAAAAAAGGAGAAAGTGGGTCGTACCGGTGCTACCAGTGAAAGAATTCGTCTGGAGCCCTGAATAATGTTTTTTTTCTTCTTATTATTGTTGTTCATGTTGTGTGTTTTGAGTTTGTACAGATCCTGTAAATACTGATGAAAGTTTGATGAATGATTTTGAAATTTAGTTCTGGTCAGTCTTATGTTAGATTATGATTAGAACATCCTCCAAAGGTAGAACATGTGCATTCCTGTAAATGGTTGTGTCTGATGTTTTCTGATGATTTCTGATTTTTAAAAAAAGGTCATTTGCAGACTGCGCCCCCACCAAACATGTTCACCAGCCGCCACTGGTCTTAACCTTTCAGCATATTGTAACTCAAGTGGTCTGAGATGAAACGAGACTTCTGCACTTTGTCTTTGCCCTGTTTTCAGATTTTAGAAAATCTACCCCCTGATGGGAATTTTTATTTTTTTT